GCCCCGCCCGGCCCCGCCCACCTGCCGTGCCCCCACCTCCAACCCCCAAACAAAGCTGCGCACCCCTCAGAACTCCTCACCCCTGTCCCGACCCCCGCCCCACTCCCAAGGCCCCGCTCGCCTTGACGTCCCCGTGCACCAGCCGCAGCGAATGGAGGTACTGCAGGGCCCGCGCCACGTCAGTCAGGACCCCCAGCAAGGCAGGCAGGTCCACCGCCGCCGCGCCGTGGCCGCCGCTGCCTCGGGTGCGCCGGCGGAACGCGCCCGACTCGAGCACGTCCCGCAGGGTTCCGCGGTCGCAGTACTGCGGGGCAGCGAGATTGAGAGCGGGGTGTCTTTTATGTTTTGGGAGCTTGGCGCAAGGGTGTGGATTGGGGACGGATGGTGTGGGCGTGGTCAGAGTGCGGCACCCAGGTCGCCGGGGGCGTGATTATTGGGAGCTTGGCGCTAGGGGTTGAATTGGGTACGCGTGGTGTGGGGTTGGGGGCTGCGGCGCCCGCTGCGGCGTCGCTCGGGGTCACACCCACCCACCTCCATCACGAGGATGTTGCACGGCTGCGCAGTCTTGTCGTCCACATCATCCCCGGGCTGCAGCCGCCTGAAGCGCGTCTTGCAGTGGTTTTCAACGCTGCTCATGCTGCCCATGCTCGATCCCGCGTCCCAATCTGGGGGTTGGGCGGGGCGTGTGGTGGGGCAGAGTTGTGCAGCCAGGGTGTCAAGGCCGCCAGGAGCAGGCAGTAGATTAGTTGGTTGAAAGGCGGACGCGTTGATGAGAGCCATCGACCCCGCGGTTTGCATGTGTATGCGAGCGCGCGAGCGCGCACACACACACACACACACACACACACAAAGAAACACACACACACACACACACACACACAAAGAAACACACACACACACACACACAAACGCATGCACACACACACGTGCGCAGGCGTACACGCGTGCATGTGTGTGTGTGTGTGTCTGTGTGTGTGTGTGTGTGTGTGTGTGTATGTGTGTATGTGTGTATGTGTGTGTGTGTGTGTGTGTGTGTGTGTTGCAACACGATGACGATTCCGTTCTATGCACATGGTCGAAGCCTCTTCCACAGGCCACGACTGCGTGTGCTTTCAAGGATGTGGGTGGTCGGGCTCCGGCTTGAACGTGCACCACGCCAAAGAGACGACTCAACAACCCGAGTACCCCCCATATATGCAGATACCCAGATGCCCAAAACAACCCAAAGCCCAAACAACCAATAAGCAGAACCAGAAAGGAAGCCCACCTGTGTGGACCTCTATCATGTCTGTGAGGCAGGCGTACATCTGGACGATGCTGGGGTGCATCACGCTGGACAGCACCGCCATCTCAATGGCGTCCTTCAGCGTCTGTCGGTCGTGCAATTCAAACGCGTCGGGAGAGGGGCGAGCAGGGACGAGGGCGGCGGGGTCTGGGCGGGATGCGAGCGGGCCGCAAGGTTGGAGGCGCGAGTGCTGGGCAGCGCCCGGCGCCCGACCAGCGTGGTTCACAGGTTGTGCTGAGAGGTACATGGGAAGGCCAGCACGACAGATGGGGAGGCCGAAGATACGCGGGCATTGGCAGCAACCAGCAGCGCTCTTCAAGCGCAGTGCCCCTGGCCATCCGCCTGTAAAGTGCCCCTCAGCCAAAGCACGGCGGGCATCCAGCCCCATGAGGGCCCGCCGATGGCCAAGATCGAGGGCTGGTGAGCGGCGCGAGCGCGCGTCGCAGGGCGCGACGCGGCTCCCCGCGGCGTAGCGCCCAGAGCCCGATGGCGGGTCCCAGCCCCACCTCTCGCTCGCTGCTGCGGCTCGGGAGGATCTGATCAGATGTGGAAGCGGCGGGGGCACAGGCGTGTTCATGAGGTATCGGTGGAAAGGCCCAAGCCATGTGTATTGGCAGCTGCTACGTAGCCAGCTGGAGTACGAACACGAGTCCGCCCCCGGCCAGAAGCCCCGCCGACCCCCAACAACACGTCGCCCTCCGCTGAGACCCCGCTCCCGGGGCGCCCCACAAGCCGCCCGCCCCGCCCAACAAGCGCGCCCCCGCGCCGGCCCGCCGCTCGCCACAGGAGGCCAGTCCCTACACGCCACGCCGCATGAAGCCAGCCCCAGGGGCCACCCATGCTCACGCTCCGCAGCACCAAGAGTCAGGGCTGCCCGCACGCCGTGCCGCCAGCCGCGCAACACAAAGCCAGCCTCCAGCCCGCCCCGGTCGCCGCCCCGCCCACCCACCAAGGCGACCCCCACGCGGTGCCACCAGCCGCGGAACCCGAAGCCATCCCACCTGCAAAAACCCTAAACCCACACCGGGTGCCGGGGCGGCCCCCACCCACCTTCAAGGCTACTCCCACGCGGTGCCACCAGCCGTGGAACACCTGGCCGTAGGCGCCGCGCCCCACCTGGCCGCCAACCACCAGGTCCGGCATGCAGTTGAGCTCGGCGGTGCGGCGCCAGTCCCGCCTGACCTCCTGCTGCAGCACCTGGGGG